AAACACTAAATAGCAATATGACCATACACTATATTTCAAAAAGAAAGCTATATTGTAAAAAGGAAACAAAAAAGAAATAAACTATTTCAAAAAAAGAAATAAACTATATGAAACTAGGGAAGAAAAAAATTAAAGAGGAAAACAAATCTTAGGAAATAAGATTAAAAATCCAACATAACCAATATAAACTAGAAACAAAATCAACCAAGAATCTAAATTGTATGAAATTCTATTTTTCTTTAGGGTGATCAGATTATTACATTTATATAATATACTTCAATTTTGTCAATGTATGGTTCTGACGTATCCAAAGAGCATGATAAAAAAAATGTTAAGATAATGCACACATAACAAGTGTGCTAGCATATCATGTTCCTATTTTTAAACAATGAAATATATCTAGGTACCATATGGAATCATATCGTCTGGTCTTGCTTTTCCTTTGGTGCAAAGTTTCTGTATTATTGTCAAAATGGCTACATGGAAGAATCTGTTTTGTTACCAGGAATCAGGTTCAACTTCAGAGAGATTCCTCTTTACTATTATGATAAATTATGTGTAAAAATAAAACTGGTCTTTTGGAATAACATTACCTGCCATGGCTGAAAGCTCAAAACTTCCAAACTTTTTTGTGCAACTTTTGATCTGGATTTTGACCTAGAGTCATGTATAACATGTAATGCATGGGCAACAGCATAGACAGCATTGTAGACATTATAGCTGTGTCCAGTCATTTTCATTTCAAAGAAAGTCCCTGGAAGACTCTCTAACTTTTCTTCTCCTGTGCAAACTTTCTTGAGGTCTTTCTCTGTAATTACACTGTAATTTTTCACTGAACAACTAAAAGCATTTTCCCAAAAGTCCTGAATAAAGCCATCTTCTGTTTCCCATGAAGGATTTACATTTTCAAGGAATGCTTTAAATCCCAGTATTTCATTTGAATGAACTGAGAATGATATAGCACCCTGGAAGAATTGAATATCCCAGTTCTTTTGATAGGCACTTAATCGGAAATCCCACTGCTCTGTCACAATCCACACTTTGCCTAGGTTTGAATCAAAGACTGCCATGTGAAGATACCAGCTCAAATTTAGCATGGAAGGAGGTGCACCATAGACAACAAAAACATTTGCTTTGCTTTCCATGAGAGAAGGAAATTTGTCCAAGTCATCTAAAAACAAGTCTAATATATCAGCAACATATGTCCATTTTGGTGTTCTTTTGATAAAGGCAGCACAGATGCTATTTGAAGAAAGCATTGGAACCAATGTTTGGAAAAATCTTTCTCCATTGTCATCATCCACTGCAAAGAGTCCAACCCAAGTCCATCTGAAATGTATCAGCAAGTGGACAATCCCAGAGTACTGTAGAATTTCATTTGGAATCATTTGGTACAAGGAAGCAAGCAGTGTTTTTTCATTCATTCCTGAGACAAAAGATCCATACGTAATCTAAAAACAATTATTCATTACTTTGTTTAATGTAATAATTATTATACAACTGTTGCATTTTAAAAGCACTTTTGGACATACATTGTGTTTTGCTAGACATTTCTAAGAGTGAAGTGATGTTTTAATTTTAAATCCTGAAAAAACTTCAAAATAGTATAAAGCTTGAATTTTTTTAGCTTGAGGCCCTAAGTCCTTTGATCCCAGGAGTTTCTCTGCTCCTATTTTAAGTTTACCTACCCCTTGCTCAATTAAGGATCTACAGACCTGGGCTAAATTACAGCAACTTTAGTAATCCATTCTCTGCCTGAATATTCAATTGAAGAAGATGCCTTAACTTTCTGAGAAAGACTGATTTAGTGTCAGATGTCATTGTGGACAAGCTAACAAAAACCACTTTCTGTTATTTCTATTCATTCTTTGGAATTACAGGGAACAAATTTCAATTCCATGTACTTGAAAACATTCACAAGAATAGTTTTTCCCCCTAATCTCTCTCACACAAAGAGTGATACATTTTCATACATATTACAAACAGCCACATAAAGATTCATTTACTATGCCTTCTTCAACTGTACTATTCAGAGACAGATTTACCACTTCATATGCCACTTCTGAGAAGTAAGCTTAAAATATGTACAGCTTTAATTCCTTTAAATGCCATTCTATTTTCCTTCTTAATTATATTTCTGTATATTTTGTCAATATTATTTTTTCATCCATCATAAATTGTCATCTATGACCATGACATTTTTAATTACTATATTTTTCAGAGTAGAAGACACTCCAGAGTATAAGACGCACATTAGTTTTGTGTGTGTGTGTGTGGGGGGGAAACAAGAAAAAAAATTCTGCCCCTGCCAACCAGCATCCATCAATATTCATCTGGCTAGCGTACTTGCAGCAAACAAGTTTGGCCAATTCCAGGTGACGGGGATGACTACCACCTGGAAGTGGGAGAAATTGAAGGCCAAAAATGTGACATACGGAGGCTGAAAATGCGATGTACGGAGGTGGCGATTGGTGGTGATGTCCTGTGGCAATCCTCACAGCCTGGAATGGATCTAAAATGGGGTGTGTGGAGGCCAAAAACGTGACATGTGGAGGCCGAAAATGACTAAAGGGTGGGTCCAGCGGGTGGGCAGGGCTTCAGCAACATTCGGTGTATAAGATGCACTGCAATTTTCACCCACTTTTACGGTGGAAAAAGTGTATTTTATACTCTGAAAAGTACAGTATAAGCTTTTATTAGAGAGGTTGCACATTCCCTCTGTTCCCCATCCAACTCTACCTGTGGAATTTTGTAAATAGATAAAACTGTGGCCAGATAGGAAGAAGTTTCAGAATCAAGTCCACCGATGACAGCTGCCAACTGGTCTTTAACATCACATGTGTAGTTAGGGACAAATCTCTTTTTTGCAGAAAGTAGGCGGAGGACAGTGTTATATGTGAGCTGTCCATTGTAGTAATTGTCAAAGATGTTAAAACCCAACGTGACATTAGGAAGAAGCCTGGAATTCTCATTTATTTCTTTTATGGCAAATACAAGAGCCAGAATATGCTGGTAGTTTTTTGGCATCACACTGAAAAGTTACATTAGGTACTTTTTTTTCACAAAAAAAGAAACATGTTTTCTTTTTTTATGCTTTAGCAAAATTCAAACAAAGCATTTTATGTCAGTACGACTAACAAATTTAGAAAGTCTTGACTTTAGTGCATGAAAGAAAATATTATACTCTGAAAAAAGTAAAGCCTTACTTGTGTGTATTTTTCATAAGTAAAGCCTAAGATATTTTCTCATCTATAACATTTCATACAATCTGACATAACATTTCATATGCTGGATTTTAAGCTGTGAAACAGGAAACAGTTTCTGTTCAAGCTAGAATCACATTCACATAGGATATAAATTCTGCTTAGTAGCTATATACATAGGACAGATTTATCATTTGAAAAACTATGCTCTGTGGATTGAAAATGTTATGAAATGGAGGGAGCCAGAGAAGCAAGCTTATCTTTCTCCTTTCTGAAACTGTAAGATACACCTAACGTTGCAGGAAAAGCAATTAAATCTAGAACAAGCACAGTGCTTTCTCTTTACCCCTTCCCTGCCTTTCTAGCATTAGACTTCCCATCTATTCTTTGGATGCTGTAATGAAATATATTCTATTTATAGAATAGCTCAAAAGAAGAGAGCAGAGTTTGGCCAAATATAGTCCATGAATTCTTTGCTAAGATGAAAACTAGGAAGTAGACTTTTTCTAAACCAAACACAAAATACAGCTATTCAGTGATTCAGATATTAGTTCCTTTGGGAAAATCGAACAGTGGAACAGGCTATGTTGTAAATTCAAAGTATAGCTAATCACTGATTGCTAACAGTTCAGAAATGGAACCTGTCATGTAATTGGTGACCCATTGATAGAATCTAACCACTTGAATGTGTTTTGATATAAAAATAAAATAAAATCAGAGTTGCAAAAGTCTGATGAATCAGGCAACATACAAATAATTGTAATAAATAAATTAGAAAAATGATTATAAGTCTGGTGGTATTAGTAAAATTGTCATTAAGACATGGTTTTAGTGATGAAAGCACAACTACTGATTAATTATAGAAAAATTAAAGAAAGAAAGAAGCTATGGAAGAAATCTGTAGAGTTTCAGATGAGACAGCACAATAAAGACTATGAAATACTGAAATTTAAATAGACAAAATTAAAGTGCAGAGTTTTAGAAAATGACTGAATGAGAATCAAGAAGATGGTGATGAAAAAAAAAGCTGACAAGCAAACATCAAAGTATGAAAAGCATTAATAAGTGCAAATATAAATGGTGTCTTCATCATTTAAAATAAAACAGTTGTGATTCTTCAACAATAAGGAAAGATTTCACTCAAAAGGCAGAAATCTAGATTCTGCAGAGATTCATCCATTTTTCTTCTGCTCAGGATGGGATAGAAATGGCTTACATGGCTTCTTTCATACTAATCTCTGAGGGCTTTTCTCTGAAATCGATTGACAAGTGGAGGAAAAAGACCTGGGAAACAATCTCTCCAACAGCAAGGTTTCCTGGCTGGTAGAACTCATGTAAAATTACGACTGGATCACTTAAGCTGCATACAATGGAAGGAGCCCTGCTGGAAAAGTAATTTGTATTGAACACAACTGGACATAGTGAAAAGAGTGAAACAATGGTGATGATACCGAATGATGCTTTGCAGATGAGCATTTTGTTGATTTCTTCATCAGTATGAAGGACTATTACTACTAGGCTAATAGTTTAATAAGGGGGAAGCATGCAGATAATGATAGTGACAGGACCGCAGGTGCTGAAGTTGACATCTGGAGAAATATTGTTTTCTTTTAACAAAGACTTTATGGGGACCTGTCTAAAATATTATTTCTCAAAATATGAAGCAGAAAATGGTAATTGTCACATACATTAGCTTCAACCAAAGTAACTAATTTATAAATGTATTAGGAGACATTTACATATGTACATATAAATGTACATCTATGAATGTATCTTAATTCCTAGATAAATTGTTTATTAGATGACCCTGCATTGTCTCTTTATTAGTTGATCTTTGTTGTTCAGTTCAGACCTGAATACAATTATGTAGCATTTAGGGAAAAAAATGCAACTCAACAACCCAACACTCGATATTAAGATAGAGAAGACTTCAACAGCCACCACATATTTTCCTTTGGTACTCAAGTACATTGGACCAAAAGACAACCAAACACTGCAAAAGACCAACATGCTGAAAGTGATAAATTTGGCTTCATTGAAACTGTCAGGTAACTTCCTGGCAAAGAAAGCCACAGAGAAGCTGACCATGGCCAGAAAACTCATGTAGCCCAAGACAAGACAAAACATGGTAGTAGAACCCTCATTACATTCTAGAATGATTTCTTCACGGAGAGAGTTTAAGTCCCTATCTGGGAATGGTGGCGAAGTAAGCAGCCAAAGACAACAAATGCACACTTGGATAGAGGTGCAGGAAATGATGATAGTATATCCCAACTTTCTCCCTACCCATTTCCTTATCTTGGACCCAGGTTTAGTAGCCACAAAGGCTAGAACAACAGTAATTGTTTTGGCCAAAACACTGGAAAGGGCCAAAGAGAAGACAATGCCAAAGGTTGTTTGTCGGAGAATACACGTGGTAGATGTTGGTTTTCCAATGAAGAGGAGAGAGCAAAGGAAGCAAAGAAAGAGAGAGAAGAGAAGAATGTAGGTGAGGTTTCGGTTGTTTGCTTTGACTATAGGAGTGTCCTGGTGTTTCCAAAAAGTTCTAAGGACCCAAACTGTTGTCAGAGCAAAAGCAATTGAAAATCCCATTAAAGTGATTCCTGGTTGCTCTCCAAAGGACAGGTAGTTTAAAAATTTTGGGATGCATTGGTTCTGTTGAAAATTTGGATATTCATCTTCTTGACATTCAGTGCAGAAATCCATATCTGGAAATAGGAGGAAAATGTAGATTTTAACTGAGAGAAATGTAATGTGGAACAATCTAGGAAGAAAAAGGAGATTTCAATGCCTTATTGAAGAGTCAAAAGGGGACTCTTCATTTTAAATCTATTTCTTTATCCCAGTTTTTTAAAATACATTGAAACTGGCTTATATGGTTCTCTCCTCTCTTATCATTTCAGCAACTATATGATATTGGCTACATTGAAATCTAACTAAAGGTTATCTATTGCAGGAGTCACCAACCTTTTGGACCTCAGGGACCACTAAATTCATAATTTTAAATCCCGAAGACCACTAATAATGCTTAATGACTGCCTGGGTGGGCGTGGCTAGATGGTCATGTGACTGGGTGGTCATGGCTAACTCGATGTCACACACTTTGAGGGGCGCCTTGCCGGCCTCTACTCACCCCTCCCCTCCCAGCCACTCCATGCCTGCCCTCTCGGGCTCCTTAGGGCCCCAAGAGGAAGCAGTTGTTGGAGTTAAGCAGTCAACACAAGAAAGAGTTGGCAAAACAGCTCAGTTCAATTTGGATCTGACCGAGAAGGAGGCTCAGCAGAAGCACCTCACTGAGGACTAGGAGCATAGGTTTTCCAAGCAAAAGGAAGACCTGTGGGAGTAGAAGGCCAGGTACCGGCACCTGGAGGCTCAGCGAGCTAAGATGGTCAGCTAGTTCCAGGCTATGATGCAGTCCTACTGGAACAAGGCCCTCTGGCTCTTCTCCACCAATGGCGCTTCCCTCCAGCTTTCACCCAAAGTCCTGCACCAGGAGGCTGAAGAGACCCCAAATCGGAATTTCTGCCCCCTCTGACCTACACAAAAAGACCCCAAAGGGGGAGACTCTTTGCAGCAACACAAATGTTCATTGTATGTATCCATCCCAGGGGCCATAGTTTGAGGACCCTTAATTTAGTGCAATATAAAAAATGCAAATAATTTTTCTGCGGACCGCCAAAATTTTCTCACAGACCACCAGTGGTCCACGGACCACCAGTTGGTGACCGCTGATCTATTGGACACATGAATCACATAGTATTTTGTATGGAGAAGTGAGAACTGTCCATTCTCTTTTTTGTTGCATATTAACTTCAAATGAAGCATATATATATATTTATATATATATATATAAAATCTTTTCTCATACCTTTCTGGTTAGAAATCTTTCTTTCTGGACATGGTACACAAATATAGCAGCAAAATGGTTCCCCTTCCTTTTTTTCCTTATGGTGACCAGGACGACACTGGTCATTACATACAGATATTGGTAATATCTAACATAAACATGTGGAGAATATTTAGGATTGAGAAATATGACCAAATATGAGAAATATGAGATATACAATGTGCATATGATCACAATGGAACTGAAGGAATTATATTTATTCTATATCAGGTCTAATTCATGGAGTTAATAATTTTTAAAACTCTAAATTCCATTACAATATATGAACAGAATTATATGGGAAGAAGACTTCTTCCCATATAATTCTGTTCATAGAAATGTAATAGAAAAATGACATATTTTTTTAAAAAAAGAATCTGAAATGATAATTACAAATGGTTAAGAGTTGAAGAAATAAGGAAGACATTCAGATCAGTGTATTTAGATTTGACAATATATGTTTTGATACTTGAAAACTGGGTTGAAAGGAATATACTGGAATGTGTTTGCATTACTTTTGAGTAATGTGTCCAAAATTGGATTCTGCATAGGCATTGTGTATGTGTTTACATTTGTGAGCATATGTGTGTGCATGCGCACATGCATGTGAATGTACTGTACATATGTGTTTTTGGCCTGCTGGTGTTCTGACCCAGCCTTAGCAGAAGCAAGAAACAGACCCATTGTCATGAAAAAACAGTCTTTGTTTACCTCTTGTGAATTAATTGCATTCACCCACCAAAAAGTCCAGGCAATAGTTCTTCAAGGAGTTAACTGCAGTACAGACTTTATCAGTTCCTTGCAATATGAAAGGCTGCAAATTAAGTTCTGGCAAGCAGTCTTTGTGGCATGAAACATAATAAGCAAAATCTTCAGAAATACGAACTGTTGTCTCCTATGACAACCACTCCCCTTTCCTTCTATTTATTTCCCAGCCAGGGAGGGGCCATTTAGCATCCATGTGTGCTTTGTTTCCCAAGTTGACTTCTTGTCCTCTGTTGCTCACCTCTTCTAACTACTGGAACAGGCCCCAGCTGTTCTTCCTCCTCACTCATATCAACCTCCAAAGGCAGCTGCCTCTCTGGTGGTTGGGTAATGTTGGATGGCCCTGACTCTATCTCTGCATCCAACGCAGATCATCCATCAGAGCCTTCCCCAGACTCCAGCACTGGCCCAAGTTCTTTCCCAACCTCCTCCTCATCCAAGTCTACCGCCAGCTCCACTGACAACTGGCTAAATACTTTTACTTTCCTTTTCTTTACAGTATTACTGGATTTATGTATTTAGGGAGTTATAGCACTTTTATTCTGCTTTGGGAATCATTATTAATGAAACATAATTTATAAACTATACACCCACAAACACACAACTGCAGAAAATAAAGAGGGATTTGTCTGAACTCATATTTCATATAGATACTCCTCAATTTATAACTGTAAGTTGTGCCAGTTGTTATGTGAGTACATGACTGACCCAATTTTATAACATTTTTTACAGTGGTTGTCAAACAAATCACCATAGCCATTAAGCAAATTAACCTCATTAAGTGAACTTGTTGTCCACAATGGGCACCCTGGAAACCAGAAGTCTATTTTATTCAATATCTATGTTCTGAGTCATCTTACAAAATAATCAAGGCTTTCTCATTTTCCAGACTTTCCCTTTAGCTAAGTCACCACACATAATGATTGTTTCCTACTGGCATTTAAAGAAGACAGCCTGAACCATTCCTTTTTTGGAATCAGGAGTTTGAGACAAGATTACACTTTCTTAAATCAAAAATTGAAGTTTTTTTTCCTTACCTGGTTAAACATTCGGTGCCACACAATGCTTTCAACACAAATGGATAATTCTTTGCCTTGAGGTGCCAAAGGATCCAGACTTCCAAATTTGACTCTAACATATGATTGATTGGGAAAAGTTATCCAATTTATAACATCAAATCCAGTTACTAGTTTACCATTATCATCAAAATGCACAATTTCTCCAGCACTGTTGTTGAATAAGATACCTCTTAGAAAGGGATGGAACTAAAACAAAGCAAGAAGAACATTCATTGTGGAAATCCTGAAAAACAAACTAAGCATGTTTACTGCAGTAGGATTATTTTGTAAATCTGTTAGAAGCATTTGGAGGCCTATAGCATTAAATAGGCATCTTCAGATTAACTGTAGAAGAGAAATGGTAAAATGGCAAATAAATTGTGTTTTCTTATAAAGTTGTACTGCATACCCCAACGATGCCCTTGAAGTAATGTCCTAGTGCCTGGAGGCTGTGCGGATCTGGATGGGGAGACACAGGCTCAAGCTCAACCCTTCCAAGACTGAGTGGCTGTGGTTCCCGGCATCCCGATATAGTCAGTTGACTCCATCACTGACTATTGGGGGCGAGTCTTTGGCCCCCTCAGAGAGGGCTCGCGATCTGGGAATCCTCCTGGATACACAGCTGTCATTGGAGGAACATCTGACGGCTGTTGCCAGGGGGACTTTTGGTCAGGTTCGCCTGATCCGCCAGTTGCGGCCCTTTCTTGATCGGGATTCCCTGTCACTCATGCCCTCGTCACCTCTTGCCTGGACTACTGCAACGCTCTCTACATGGGGCTCCCCTTGAAGAGCACGCGGAGGCTCCAACTGGTCCAGAATGTGGCCGCGCGGGTAGTCACGGGAGCTGCATGGCTCTCCCATACAACACCTCTCCTGCGTGAGGTGCACTGGCTCCCAGTGGTCTTCCGGGTGCACTTCAAGGTGTTGGTTATCACCTTTAAAGCACTCCATGGCATAGGACCTAGTTATCTTTGAGACCGTCTGCTGCTACCGACGGCCTCCCATCGACCTGTGTGCTCCCACAGAGAGGGCCTCCTCAGGATGCCATCAGCCAAACAATGTAGGCTGGTGACCCCCAGGGGGAGGGCCTTATCTGTGGGGCACCTAACCTCTGGAATCAGCTGCCCCCAGAGATAAGGAGAATCCAAGACCTTGGTGCCTTCCGCCGTGCCCTTAAAACCTTCTTTTTCCAGCAAACCGGGCTGGCCTAACACTTTTTAAAATGTTTTTTAATTGTTTGTTATTGTTTTTAATCATGGGGCCAAATTTATATATATCTTTTTAATTGTATTTTAATGTTTGTAGTTCATGTTTTTATTTGGCTGTTCACTGCCCTGAGTCCTCAGGGAGAAGGGTGGTATACAAATTTAAAAATAAATAAAATAAATAAATAAAATATAGTTCTCGTCAATTTATGATAATAAAGATATTCATTTATTTGTATAAAAGAATTTGATCCAGTGTTGACCTCCAGCTACTGAAGAGTCCATTGCTCAGATAGAATAGAATAGAGCTGGAAAGGACTTTGGAGATCTTCTAGTCCAACTCCCTGATCAAGCAGAAGACCCTATACCATTTCAGAATGGTACTTTGGAAAATGAGTTGAGCTCTATTCTTTGTGGCAGCCCCTCAAATACTGGAATGCTGCTATCACATTATCTCTAGTCCTTCTTCTCTCTAGACTAGCCAAATCGAAATCCTGCAACTGTTCTTAAGTTTCAGTTCCAAGCTAGCACAGAGAGAAAAGATTTCCAATAAGTGTTGGATGACAAGAAAAGCTGGAAGAGTTTCTTGTGCATTCTTTGTGGCAATATAAACATAAAGTAAAAAATGTTTGAAAAAAATCTGGATAGTTTGAAGAGCAAGAAATGTTGCAGTGAAGACTAAACAAGTATGACCATAGGAAACATCTGTCTTTTATTTATTTATTTTTTAAAATTGGTTTGATTTATATGCTGCCCTTCTCCAGAGACTCAGGGTGGCTTACAATGCGTTACGCAATAGCCTTCATACTTTTGTATATACCTGCTTAGTAGGGCTTTCGGCCCCCCCAAGCAGTGTTCTTTTTTATACAAAGTCAGCTTATTGCCCCCACGATCCGGGTCCTCATTTTACCTACCTTGGAAGGATGGAAGGCTGAGTCAATCTTGAGCCTGGTGAGATTTGAACTCACAGTAATTGCAGGCAGCTGGCAGCTAAGTGCTACTTAACAGCACTTTAGTCCGCTGCACCATCAATGCTCTCTGTTTTGTTACATCTCTATGTAAATATATTGTACTTCTGCTCTCTTATTCTGTTGCATTTCTGTAACTTTATGTTTGTTTGAACCACAAAGTGAAATGCATATGCTTAACTATGGTCCCTAGGATCGAGAGAGGGAAGAGTGAGGGTATCTTGGAAAGAAACAGTCTGCAACATTCTGAGCTATTGCCTAATCGCGTTTCCTTTAGAAAGGAAATGCAAAGAAATTGGGAGAACTTTTTTCTGATTAATTTTTTTTCTCAGCAGCGCCCTGTCCTGATACAGTTCATTTTGGAATTCAATCTTTCTCTTTCAAGCGTCTTCAGTGGGAGACTTACCCAACTGATAGAGAGTCCTTGCCCACCTTGCTTAATTTCCAGAAAATCTTTGGGGGGAAAATAAGTGAATACAGTTGGCAATATTTCAAGTGCCACAAAAGACTGTGTGGTGGTTGTCTAAGAAACCTTGTATTATATGATTACATTGTTCAACTAATAATATCAATAGCACTTAGACTTACATACTGCTTCACGGTACTTTACAGTACAGCCCTTTCTAAGCAGTTACAGACTCAGCATATTGCCCCCAACAATCTGGGTCCTCATTTTTCTGATCTCAGCAGAATGTTCAGAAGGCTGAACATTGATCCGGTGAGACTCAAACTGCCTAACTGCTGGCAGTCAGCAGTCAGCAGAAGTAGCCTACAGTACCGTATTCTAACCACTACATCACTACGTCTCTTAATGTTATATAGTTGAAACTTCAAATAAAAATAACATTACTAGACCATAAACTGCCATCCTAGCTTTCTATCTCTAATAGACTCTAAAGCTATTAAAATTCTTCCAGGATGATTTCAATTTTTTCTCTCCTCTACTTTGCAATTGATACTTAAAATCTCCTTTAAGTAGCAGTTATTCATAATATGTCCTCCATCTTTTATTTTAAAGCAAAGGACTGTGGCCAATACTAGATATGGCGACGCTAAATTTTATAATCTAGATAATGTAACTGTTGTGAATCTACTATCCATATGCCCTTGTTATGAAATGCATATGAAAATTAACCTTTTTGGATGCTAATTACCTGCCATGGCTGGAGATTCCAAAACTGTAGGAGTCTTCCAGGCACCCTTCTCCTGTATTTTGCTTTAGCTTCACAAATAGTGTGTAGAGTACGTGCAATGGCATGGGCAGCATTGTAGGTATTGTAGCTTTGGCCAGTCATTCTCATTTCAAAGAAAGTTCTTGGAAGACTCTCCAGCTTCTCTTTTCCTGTGCATTTTTTCTTGTGCTCCTCATCTTCAGTTATCTTGTAATTTTTCAACGAACAGCTAAAAGCCTTTTCCCAAAAATCCTGGATAAAACCATCTTGTCTTCTCCAGAAAGGCTTTACATTCTCAAGAAATGCCGTAAAACCGGGTATGTCATTTGAATGAACTGAAAAAGATATAGCACCTTGGAAAGGAAGAATATCCATGTTCTTCTGATAGTCAGTTAATGTGAAATCCCACTGTTCTGTCACAATCCACACTTTACCAATGTGTGAATCCCAAGCAGACATCTGAAGATACCAGATTAAATTAAGCATGGATACCAGGGAACCATGGGCAATAAATACATTGGCTTTACTTTTCATGAGACTGGGAAATTTCTCCAGATCATCTAGAAACAAGTCTAAAAGTTCAGCCAGATCAGTCCATTTATGTGTTCTCTTGATAAAAGCAAAACAGATATGGTTTTCAAAAAGCATAGGCACAATGCCCTGGAAAAACCTTTCTCCATTATCATCATTCACTGCAAACAGGCCAATCCATTTCCATCTAAAATATATCAGTAACTGAATAATCCCAGAGTACTGACTGTATTCATTTGGAACCATCCGATATAAAGAAGAAAGAAGAATTTCATCACTCAGTCCTAAAACAAGTGATCCATATGTGATCTAAAATAAAAATGACATAATTTCTGTAAGACTGATATGTATATTAAATTACTTTTTAACATGCAATTGTAACAAAAATATCTTATAATATGAGTTCGCACAGAACTTCAATCACATCAAGCTTGAGAATTCCAATTTACTCACTACCTTTATATTTTATTCTAGAACTTTAAAATAAATATTTTATTATGCCTTTACAAATTAACCATGTACTGAAGAAAGGGGATTAGAAATCTGTCCTCTGACAATTTCATTCCTATCTTCATTCCTACCTTCATTGGGTGAGGGTGCCTTCCCTGCCGCCTTGAAGGAGGCGGTGGTGAGGCCTCTCCTCAAGAAGCCTCCCTGGACTCGGCAGTATTGGCTAATTATCGTCCAGTCTCCAACCTTCGCTTCGTTGCGAAGGTTGTTGAGAGTGTGGTTGCACGACAGCTTCCCCAGTACCTGGATGAAATGTCGTATCTAGATCCGTTCCAGTCGGGTTTCAGGCCTGGGTACAGCACGGAAACGGCATTGGTCGCGTTGGTTGATGATCTCTGGAGGGCTTGGGACAGGGGTTGCTCCTCTGTCTTGGTCCTGTTAGATCTCTCAGCGGCTATTGATACCATTGACCATGGTATCATGCTGCACCGGTTGGAAGAGTTGGGGGTGGGAGGCACCGTATTACAGTGGTTCTCCTCCTTTCTCTCCGACCGGTCACAGTCTGTGTTGACAGGGGGGCAGAGGTCAACCCCTAGGCCCCTCATATGTGGGGTGCCGCAGGGATCGGTCCTCTCGCCCCTTTTGTTCAACATTTATGTAAAGCCGCTGGGCGAGATCATCCGTGGTTTCGGGGTGAAGTACCATCAGTACACTGATGACACCCAGCTGTACATCTCCACCCCGGACCACCCCAATGATGCCCTTGAAGTGATGTCCCGGTGCCTGGAGGCCGTACGCATCTGGATGGGGAGAAACAGGCTCAGGCTCAACTCATCCAAGACTGAGTGGCTGTGGTTTCCGATGTCCCGATATAGTCAGCTGGTGCCATCGCTGACTATTGGGGCGAATCATTGGCCCCCACGGAAAGGGCTCGCAACTTGGGCGTCCTCCTGGATTCACGGCTGTCTCTAGAAAAGCACTTGACGGCCGTGACTGGGAGGATTTTTCATCAGGTTTGCCTGATCTGCCAGTTGCGTCCCTTTCTAGATCGGGACTCCCTACACACGGTCACTCATGCCCTCGTCACCTGTCATCTGGACTATTGTAACGCTCTCTACATGAGGCTCCCCTTGAGGTGCACTCGGAGGCTCCAACTGGCGCAGAGTGCGGCCGCACGGGTGGTTATGGGAGCAACGTGGAGCTCCCATGTAACACCTCTCCTGCGCGAGCTGCACTGGCTCCCGGTGGTCTTCCGAGTGTGCTTCAAGGTTCTGGTTACCACCTTTAAAGCGCTCCATGACTTAGGACCTGGTTATCTACGGGACCGCCTGCTACCACCAATAGCCTCCGACCGGCCAGTACGCTCCCATAGAGAGGGGCTCCTCCGGGTGCCGTCGGCCAAACAATGTCGACTGGCGGCCCCCAGGGGGAGGGCCTTCTCTGTGGGGGTACCTACGATCTGGAATGAGCTCCCCCCAGAGATACGGAGGATCCCGGATCTGCGCACCTTCCGCTGCGCGCTTAAAACGTTTTTATTTCATCAAGCTGGCCTGGCCTAAATCTTCTCCCTTTTAAAATTTTAAAATTTAAATTTTAAACACTAATTTTAATTTGTTTAATTATGGGATATTTTAAAATTTAGCCAAATTGTTTAATCTGTTTTAATCTATTTTAAATTTTGTATCTCTGTGTTTTATCTTTTGGCTGTTCACCGCCCTCAGTCCTTCGGGAGAAGGGCGGTATAGAAATTTAATAAAATAAATAAATAAATAAAATAAATCTGCAAAGAATGTTTTGCAAGGGAGACCTGTGGAAACTATCTTACCTACATTCTCAATTTCTGGCACAGTTACAATCTGAAGTGCTGTCACTGGAAACTATTTTGAAATGTCTCTCACATGAAGGATATGCTTTTTATATGTTACATATTAAATTTTACTTACGGCATTGATTTATTTCTCTAAGTTTAATTAATATTAATTGTCCTTCAATGTCTTATAAATATACCATAGCATTTTATTTATGTAATGTTTTGCAGGTATCCCCCAAAATATTACCTGTGGAATCTTGTAAAGGTTTAATATTGTGGCCATATAAAGAGAGGTTTCAGAATCAAGTCCTCCAATGACTGCTATCAAATGGTTCTCTAGGTCATATTTGTAGTTGGGGATAAATCTGTTCTTTGTGGAAAGCAGGCGCAAAGTGGCATCATATGTGATCTGTCTACTACAGTAGTTATCCAAGATGCGGAAACCCAAAGTGACATTTGGAAGAATCATGGAATCCTCATTGATTTCTTTTATTGCAAATACAAGTGCCAGAATGTACTGGTAGTTCTTTGGCATCACACTGCAGAATTACATAAAGTGCAGCAAAGCAAGTTTAGAAAGAATACATAGAGTACTTTAGCAAAACAAAACTTTTTTCTTGTGCTATAAACACTAGAAAATATAGAATGTCATAAATTGTGTGAAGAAAACTCTAGCATGCCTGAAAGAAATAAAGTAACAGAATAATAGAATAATAGAGTTGGAAGGACCTTTTCTCACCATTGAGCTATATTTTCTTAGATGGGTCCAGTGTTCAAGTGTGTCAAGATCCTTCTGGATCTTGAGCCTATCTTGTGGAGTGCTGGCTTTTCCTGCCAGCTCAGTGTCATCTGCAAATTTGATGAGTCCACCTTCCATTTCTTCATCTAAATCATTTATGAAGATATTGTTGAATATTGAACCTAAGACAGAACCTTAGGATACCCCACTGCTTACTTCCCTTCATGTAGATGTAGTTCCATCTACACTTGACTACACATTGAGTGAGATTTGTTGGCTCATTATGAATCCATTTGGTGGTGATGCTGTCTATTCCACATTTCACTTGGTTTTTTTAAGTTAGAAAACTGTGGTTTACTTTGTAAAATGCCTTACTAAAATCCAAATATACTATGTCCACAGCATTTCACTGATCCACTAATTTAGTCACTTTGTCAAAGATTGAAATAAGATTTTTTTGGTAGGATCTGTTTTTGACAAACCCATGTTGGTTTCTTGTTATAACTTGGCCTGCTTCTAGGTGTTCAACAAGTTTGTTGCTGAACAAGTAAATTGAACAAGGTTGAATGTGTTTCCCAAAATTGAGCAAATACACTCACTTGTTTATTGTGAATCATGCAGACAGGCATTTCCTTATATGTTTAATTCATTGTTGCTTGACATAAAGCTTTCAATACTGGATTCAAAGTTCTGAAACAGAACATACTCAAACATATGTTAGCTTGGCAGGGTTTTTTAAAAAATACCTGTCACTACTTTATTCTGAAAAGCTACAGATGTAGGGCAGAGTTCTTGTGTCAGAAGTCCTTGCCTATGCCTGCATCATGACAAATATGCTGAGAATTTTGGAAGCACTATTAAATATATAAGCACATTCATAAAATAGGGAAGAATTTAGTAAAGAAAGAAGGAACAGGGAAAAATAATTTGCAATGGATTAAAAAAATACCTGACAATACAGCACAACAAAGCATGAATAAAAGGTGGAACTTTGAAGAAATACAACCAAAGAGCTTTATAGCTTTATTCAATAAGGAAACGTTAAGACCTCAGGTTAGTAAAATGAAATAGGTGAATAAAAAAATTAACAGGAAAGCAGTTGGTAATGAGACCCTGAACAAACATAACATGTGAAATGATATATTTCACTTTTTAGATTACCAGTAAATACTGCCATCAGAAATAAATGAAATTCTAATAAAATACTGAAAATAAAATAAATGTGATTCTCCAAGAGTAAACAAAGGTATAATACAAAGAAAGATCAACAATCATGTCATAAAATGAAAGTATGCATTATCTTCAATTCATCGAAGTTTCTCATGTTCCAGTTATTTTAGTCTTAATGAACAGATGCTTAGGGATCAGGGAGTTGGCAGAAAAAGAGAATGAAATGCTTACACGGCTTCCTTGATACTAAACAGGGATGGTTGTTCATTGAAATTAGTTGAAAAGTGAAGGAAAAAGATTTGAGAAGCAATCTGCCCAATTGCAAAGTTTCCCAGCTGATAGAATTCATGTGAAATTTTGACTGGGTCCTTTATGTTGCATATAATGGAAGAAGTCTTAGTATTGCTAGAAAAGGAATGTGTCTTGAACACGATTTGACATAATATGAATGATATTAACATTTTGAAACCAAGACTACTTTGCAGATTAGTATTCTGTTTTTATCAGTAGTGTCTAAATTATTACTACCATTGAATGAAATATCTGCTTAATGGTTGCCAATGTTCTTGGTATTCTTACTGATTCTAGCTTGATTTTCCACACTATAGTTGTATTTATTCATTTATTTTCTTTTTACTTGTTTATAGGTTATGCAGATCAAGCTACCTCTTGAGATAATAGATTTTCCTATTGATGTAACGAATTTGATGCAAGCTGAACAGGTATACTTTTGCTGAAAAATCAAAAGGATAAATAGTCAATTGCTTAGGTTATATATCTTTTTCCTTTCCCTAATTCACAACACCTAAAAGTAAATACTTCAGATATATTCTGCTTTCTGAACATTTATTCCATGACCTACAACTAGAGAGAGTCCTTATGAGTCTTTTTAGATATTATTTTTTCCTACAGCTCTCAATTCCCCTTGATGCTCATCTAGTAAATGAAATAATTAGAGTTCATGATATAATAATGAATTTTAACAGGTCCTTTAGTGCTGAAGGTGCAGTTGACATTTGAAAAATGTTTATTCTCAACCTAAATACCATGCAGTTTATAAAAATTGTTTCTCAAAACACAAAAGCAAGACGTGTCCGTAATTTAATATATCCAAATGGTCTTTGGGTATAGCCAAAGTGAGAGAAGCCTACTATAATTTATGAAGTTTACTGCTGCAGTTGTGGTTGCTGGTGTGTGTGTGTGTGTGTGTGTGTGTGTGTGTGTGTGTGAGGTTGTGCACACATGCTGGTGTGTGAAGCAGGGAAACGATTGATGAAAGGAGTACTGTGTTGTCAAGATGCAAACTCAACCATTTTTGTATTATGTCTCATTCACCTATTAAAGGAGTGGATTATGATGTGTCAAATCCTATGGATGCTTCTATATTTTAGACAATGGGCAAATGTATAGAATGGATTCCATCAAAACAATGAATTTGATAGTCCATAAATTGAGTATATGTAAAACCTTGTGATGGTATGTAGTCTGATTAGCTATAGAAAGCCGTGGTGGCACAGTGGTTAGAATATAGTACTGCAGGCTAACTCACGGCTCACTCCAGGAGAGCGCACCAAGGACCCCCCACATTTAGCTTTGCCAGCTCGTTTGGTAATCATCTCCATGTTTGCTGAACAGTACTTATATTCCAAAGCTTTTTAGGACAAAGAACATTTCTCTTCCCATATGTTCTTGAAGTAGGATATATGAACTAAAGATGCATGACATTAATATAAAAATAGGCTGAATAATCAATTTTCTCTGGCTCATTAGCCATTTCACATACACTGTCCTTACATTAACTTTAGAGGCATTACTTTCTCAAAGCTCTGATCTGTTTCACAATCAGGTAGGCAAATTAGAGAATCCAAGTTAGGGATGACAAAATAGGAAATATTCAGCAGTATTACTAACTAATTAGATATAATGAGATGTTCTGATGGCTGGTGCTGGAAAGCATTCTGATTTCCTGGCAGAGAGAAAAAAAATTAAAATAGATACCCTCGATAAAGCACAAGAGTTCTTTGAACATTATTTTGCAACTGAGGAAGAGCAAGAGAGTAGAGAAGAAATTGAGAGTAGGAATCAAGAGGAATACCAAAGAGAGGATAATGAGGTAGAACAAGAAGAAGAGAGAAAACAAAAAAAGAATGAATAGAAAGAGAAGGTACAAGAGGGAAAATACACAGTGAGACAAGAAATACAAGGAAATTAAGAATGATGTATAAATAAATAAGGAAATGGAGGAGGAAAATAAGATGGTCTCAATAAAGATAAACATAAATGGATTAAACTCACCAGTGAAAAGAACACAAGTACTCACAAAACTACAAAGATTGGATATGGATATCGTATGTTTGCAGGAAGTACACATCAAGAAGCAGTATACTAAACTGTTAGAAAACCCAAAGATAGGGAATCTTTATGTATCACTAGCATAACAAAAAAAAAAAAAAAAAAGAGGAATTGAAATATATATCAAGGAAAGATTAAAATCGAAACAAGTATATGCAGACGAGGAGGGAAGAATTCTAATGATCGAGATAGAAACAGAGCAAAAACAAATACTACTTACCACAATATAGGCACCAAATAACAATCAAAATGAATTTTACAGAAAAGTACAAAATAAAATAATGGAATTAGAACATGAAACATGTTTAATTGGCGATTTCAATGGAATTACAGATATTAAAAAAGATTACAAAATTACAAAAGCAATAAGAAAAATAAGACAAAGAAAAAACATTATCAGACTCGTTTTTCAAAATTATGTAAGAATTAAGTCTACAAGACGCATGGAGATAAATAAATATTAAAAAGAACCAATACACATTCTACTCAAACCCACATCAATTGTGGCCAAGGACTGATATGGCATGGATGACCCCGGGATTAAGAAGAGAGATTGAAGACATAGAAATAATGACTAACCATTGGGCAGATCACAATCCAATAAAAATGATACGGAAAGGTCAGAAGAAAAAATGGAGATGGACAATGAACCAAGAAATACTGAAAGAGAAAGAATACACACAAATGATTGAAAAGGAACTAAAACTATTATTTAAGATAAATACAAAGGAAGATACGTCACTCCAAAATCTGTGGGATACTACAAAAGCATATACGGATTTACAATAGCATATATGACAAAAAGAAACAAGAAAACAAAATAAAAACAAGATACCTTGCAGGAAGAACTCAAATGATTAGAACTAGATTTACAGAATGAGTCCCAAAATAACAAGATGAAAGAAAAAAGAGATCTAATAAAACACAGGTTGAATTTGATTACACAAGATGAAATGGTACAAAAAGTTGAAATGGCAAAGCAAAACTTCTTTGAGCACGCAAACAAACCTGGGTGATGGCTAGTGTATAAATTTAAAAAAAGAAAAGGAGAAAAGAATAATACATCAACTGCAAGATGAGGAGGGAGTGATACACCACAGAAGAGAAGAAAAAAAGAACATAACACAACAATTTTTTCAAAATTTTTATTGCCAAGAAAACATTACGGAAGACAACATTAAACAATGCTTAGACAAAATGAATTTAACTAAAATAGCAGAGACAAAAAGAGAGATGTTAAATGGAACAATAACCATGATGGAATAAAGGAAGAAGCAAAAGAATAATAAAACGCTGGGTCCAGGTGGATTTCCTGTGGAGCTATATAAGACCATACAGGAATCGCTGGACATGTTCATGCTGGAAGTATTCAATGAGGCACTTCTAGAAGCTAAAATGCCTAATTCTTGGACAGAAGCACTGATCACACTCAGACACAGACCAGCAAAAGATAAAAAATTCAGACCCATTTCATTACTGAATGCGGATTACAAAATATTTGCATCTATAATTTCAGAAAGAGTTAAAAAAGTCCTAAACAAATTCATTCACCCAGATCAAAATGGATTCTTACCAAGAAGACAAATAAAAAACAATATGAGAACCATTATAAATACATTAGAATACTATGAAGTCTACCCCAAAAAACAAGCGGCATTAATTTTCTTGGATGCCCAAAAGCCTTTTGATAATCTAAATTGGAGGTTTATCATTTTACAATTGGAGAATATGAATTTTGGAGAGAAGTTTGTAAAGATTGTGGAAAAAATATATACAACTCAAATAGCAAAAGTAATAATAAATGGGGATACCACTGAAAAATTTAACATGCGAAGGGAGTAAGACAAGGTTGCCCATTATCACTCCTATTATTCATCCTAACTCTAGAGTTACTGTTAATAAAAATTAGATGTGAACAGGAAATAAAGGACTTGAAAATAAAAAAAGAAGAATACAAAGTCCAAGCGTTTGCGGACGATTTAGTATTTATTCTAGAACAACCGTTAGAGACAGGACCTAAATTAGTACAACAAATAGAAGAATATGGTAAAGTAGCAAGACTTAAAATCAACAAAAGCAAAAAAAGGCAATAACAAAAAACCTCAGTAAAAAACAGGAAAGAAAATTGGAAGAAAGAATGGGCATACAAGTGACCAAAAAAGTAAAATATTTGGGAATCTGGTTATCAGCCAAATGTTCATTAATCAAAGAAGATAACTATAAGAAATTAATACAACAGATAAAAAAGGATTTAGAAATCTGGAAAAAACTACAATTGTCTCTCATTGGAAGGGTAACCTCATTAAGACGAACATTTTATCAAGAATATTGTTCCTTTTCCAAGTAGTACCAATAAGTTTAGGGAATTTCCCCCCTGAAGATTTAAACAAATTAATAACAAAATACATTTGGGTGGGGAAAAAAACCCACAGATTAAAGTAAAATTATTGCAGGACAGCAGAGAAAGAGGAGGCTTTGGGCTCCCAGATTGGGAGACATATTATCAGGCAACGGCACTCACTTGGATCAGATTGGATAGAGCTAAAAAACAAAAGGATTCTGACATTAGAACGACATGATCTACATAGATAAGATGCTTTCATATGGGATGGGAAAAACAAATTTCACAGCTACTTTCAGGAACGCGTTACTATAAGTATGGCAAAAAAAATTAAAAAATCATTATAACAAAATACCAAATTGGATATCAACAATGGAAGGATTAATCTACCCAAATGTATTAGATATGGACAAAATAAAAAGATACAAAGACTTACTAAATGATCAGGGGGAACTGAAAACAAAACAAGAACTAAAAGACAGGACATAGACTTCGATTGGTGGCCATATATACAGATTCAAATTAGACATAAGAAAGATTTAGAACAATATGGATTCCAAAAAGAACCACAATAATTAGATAAGATTTTACAAGGCAGAGGACAAATTGATTAAGAAAATATATAATTATCTATTGTGATATAGAATGGAGGAGGAGGTAGTCAAAGAAACCCTAATAATTTGGGCCCAAACTTTGGCTACAATATTGAATTGGAAAAATGGGAGAAACTCTGGGATAAAAATTACAAATTGGCAATGTCAGTAGCCTATAAGGAGAACATGTATAAAATGTTCTACAGATGGTATCTTCCACCAGCGAGATTGGCCAAAATGTTCCCAAATACATCTCCAAACTGCTGGAAATGCAGACAAAATCAGGGAACATACTACCATATGTGGTAGACATGTCCAAAAGCAAAACAATGTTGGATTAGAATAAGAAAGTGGCTCGAAGAGATAACTAAACAGCAAATAGATTTGAAACCAGAATTATTTTTATTAGGAATATTCACAGGAAATTACAATAAAA